GTGGTCTGTTTTTTCATTAAATATTAGCTCTGTTCTTCACATTGAGGTCTCAGGATTTCATCCTCCTTGGATTTACCAATTCGGTTTACCAACTTCTTCATAACTTATATATATATATATATATATATATTAAAAAGAAGAGAGGTGCCGCAAACGTTTTTTGTTGTAATGTGGATTTATTTAGAAAAAATATTATGCTTTGTTTTACATAATTTTACTACCACACGTGTTTCTGGTCTCCCGACCGTCTTCAGGTAAAAGTGGAGATTTCTACATATTATTAAAAATAATTAATTTTCTTCATGTTCAATGTGAAATGTTCTCGATATGAGACATTCATCATTATATATATATATATATATATATATATATATATATATATATATATATATATATATATATATATATATATATATATATATATATATATATATATATATATTTATATATTTAGGCAGCAATCCTTCCTTTATGCATGTTTCATTAAAACGACAGACAAGGTACTACGGTTGAGCTTTTTATTTAATTTTTTCTTGTGTTTTGACAAGAGCTTTCTTTTCTGGACAAAGAGTGTAAGAACTGTCCGAATGTTTTGTATTTCCGAGCGCTTTCGGCTATACCTTTTAGCCATTATCAAGGATGATTCAATTATCAGCTTAGTAGAGTGTGTGTTCTGTGTATGTTCAGTGTGTGGTAGTGATGTTTTTAGTTTCCGAATACGGTTAGCACAAATACAGAACATTCGGACAGTTCTTACACACTCTTTGTCCAGAAAAGAAAGCTCTTGTCAGAAACACAAGAAAAATTAAATAAAAAGCTCAACCGTAGTACCTTGTCTGTCGTTTTAATGAAACATATATATATATATATATATATATATATATATATATATATATATATATATATATATATATAATTGATAAATAAAAATTTGTCACTTATCTCATTGATCTTATCTTCAGCATCCCGACTCCAGAGCCTCGTAAGCAGACCTGTCCGTCCACTCTCCATGGGATACACTCACAGGTCACTTTATTAGTATCGGGTTGTACAGCTTTTTTGCCTTTAGAACAGTATCATTTCTTTGCATGGACTCGACGATGTTCTAGAAGAACAATTTCAACATTTGGCTTCTATTACGCCATTATTCTAGATTTGTTGGCTGCATCTCCTGGTTTCGAATCTCTCTTTCCACCACATCCCAAAAGTGTCCTATACGATTAAAATCTGGTGATTTTGGAAGCCATTTTGATACAGGAAATTAATTGCTGTGTGCCATGAACAATCTGCCACTATTTATGATTGTGTTTTTTTCTGTTGGAATATGCTACCAGAGTGTAGGCTTCTCGTAGTCATAAACTGAAGCACGTGATTAGCCGTAAACCTCGGTCGCCCTCGACATTTCAACGAGCATATATAGGTACCATTGATTCCGATATATATTAAATAAATATTCTCCATACCATTATACCACCACCAGCAGCCTGAACCACTGATATAGTCTAGGACGGATCCATACGTTGATGTTGTTCAGGGCAAATTCTGGTCCAACCATCTGAATGCCGCAGCAAAAATAAAGACCAGGCAGTGTTTTTCCAATCTTCTGTTGTTCAGTTTATGCAATCTTGAGTAAACTGCATTCTCATTTTCTTGTTTTTATCTGACGGGAATGGTACCTGGGACCGTTTTCTGGTGCTGTAGCTCATCTGATTCAAGGTGCGTTCAGCGATGCTTTTCTTTTTAACTTAGTAAAGATTGTCTATTTGAGCTACCATTGCCTTTCTCTTAGGTTAAACACGCTTGGTCGATCTCCATTGACCTCTTTCAACAACGACAGACTTCAGCCCACAAAAGTGACGCACCCTTGAATTCTTTCTGACTATTCCAAGTAAATCCTAGAGACGGTTGTATGTGAAAATTCTAAATCAATTTTTGAAAGACTAAGACTCTCCCGTCTGGCACCAATGAACACGACAATTAATTCAATTTCCTTTTCCATACTAATGCATGAAATGAAATTCAGCAATTTCATAACAATGTTTAAATGCCTATATCTATTTAATTTCTGTCATGTCAGTGGCTGATTAGAAACTTGCATCAACTCGCATTTGTAGAGATTTACATATAAATAACTACTCTGATGATGGCTCATGTGAGTTTCAAATGTAAAATGAGGAGAACTTGAAGCCACTCTAGCACTGCGCTTAAATTTATAAAGTCTAAATACCATAGCGGAAAGTTCATCAGAACCATTACCATGGAGGTATTTATAGAAAAAGCACAATGGTGGCAGGAAAAGGACTAAAGCCGAGATGCCAGGTCGGGACCAATAATATTGCCGTTTCTTCTCTAGATTTTATCAAGAATCTCTAAATATATAGGAGGAGCACCAGCAACTCTCACTGGGTGCCCCATACTTTCGGCCTTGTGCCACATCTAAGCTACACTTTCAAAAACACTAGGGCACCTCGAGACGGTGTAACGGTTAGCAAGCTTGTCTCGCTAGAACAATTACGACTGAATAGTGAGTTCGATCATCACTAGGTGCCCCATACTTTCGGCCTTGTGCCACATCTAAGCTACACTAGGAAAAGCAATAGGGCACCTCGAGGCGGTGTAATGGTTAACAAGCTTGTCTCGTAGGACAATTACGACTGAATAGTGAGTTCGATCCGAGGTGCCCCATACTTTCGGCCTCATCTAAGCTACGGTAGGGCACCCGAGGCGGTGTAATGGTTAGCAAGCTTGTCTCGTAGGACAATTACGACTGAATAGTGAGTTCGATCCTCACCACTTTCTGTGCCACATCTAAGCTACGCTTGGAAAATCACTATAGGAGGAGCACCAGACCAGATGTGGCAGCAATATTTAAAGCATGGACGAATGGTAGACTTATAAATATGTTAGATAGATTCGAGAAAAAATGTCTAGTACAATATAGTGAACCTACTTTATTAGCTTCAGAGTTAGCAATCGATTTAATATACTCTGTCCACTTCATATCAGCTGAAAGCGTTAGTGTGAGGAGGTGCAATGAGTCTGTCTGCAGGAGGTTAGCATCAGCCATTCAGATGAAAGGTAAAAAGGTTTCTCTCACATCAGTAAATAAAAGAGGAATCATTTTTGAAGCGTTAAAATTAACATGCGACTACTTGTCCCTACAGATTGTAGGCCTTTTTTTAAATCAGCTGTCAATTTGATTTTATCGAACTAATCAGACTTACAGTATTTACATTAGTCGGACTATTGTCCTCATCTTTGTCGCCATATTTGTCACAACGTTTCGGCCGTTGTACGCTCCGGCCTTCTTCAGGTGGTTGGAATTTCGAACTGAACCCTTTATCCAACCACTGCCTTTATCCACTGTGCCATGTGTCCTCAAGGACACATGGCACAGTGGATAAAGGCGTTGGTTAGATCCAGTGACAAACCCAAAGAAGGTGAGTTCAATTCCTGGTTAAGGCAGTGGAGAACTTTCAGAGGGAAAATTAGCAGGTGATAACTGATAACTGACATCCATCAAACATGGCACGTGGAATTAGAACAGTCTACCCCAGCGATCGAAATAAAGGGTTCAGTTCGAAATTCCAACCACCTGAAGAAGGCCGGAGCGTACAACGGCCGAAACGTTGTGACAAATATGGCGACAAAGATGAGGACAATAGTCCGACTAATGTAAATACTGTACATAATACCTCATCTCAGAAATATAGACAAACTCTAATCAGACTTACTATTAAAACTGGTGTAAATAATAATGTTACGACTATAGATACTGAATTGAGAACTAATCACATCAGAGAAGTCATTTATTAAAATTAGAAAACGTAGTTAACATCCGCATTTATACCAAAAAGGTGGCCATTCAAGACAACTTTCATTTCGCGATTTGATAAGAAAGGCTGAATCAGTACAAAAATTTGTCCAGAAATAACATAAGCTTTTAACCTGTGAAGAAGACTGGTATGCCAAACCCTGTCAGATGTCTTCGAGATATCCAAAACAACAGACCGAGCTTCACCATTCTTACCTAAAGCCTGATAAACTGTTTCAGAAATAATCGTTAACTAGCAGCATGGTCCGGCGTTGTCCGTGCTTGATTAAAAAATCATACGACTCCTACAGCAATCGCTATCACTTGACTTAAAATATTTTTGCCCTTCCTTGCCTTTAAAGGAGTGCCCTTTGCCGTGCTGATGTTGCTACATGCCTTACTTCTTGCCTATCTCACACTGCGAATTTTTTCTAAGATCTATACTAAACATTAAATCTGTTACGAAAAAAGAACTAAACAAAATGAACACAAAACGACCAGCTTTAAAAAAGGAGTCGTAACTGGAAAAACCGAATGAAAAAAGAATGTTAACAACAAATACTTTTTCACACCCAATCCAGTTCTGCGGAATCAGTTTAAGCAAGCGAATGAGCCAATTGGAGTAAAGTGTCATGCAGATTTAAATTTTTCCCACTTGTGACGAATGCAGCTATCGATTTTTTTTGCATGCTAGCATGCTAGTTAACATTCGTGTCACTTCAGCTGTTGGCTCTCACGCTGGCCAATAGAATCTTCCTGTCTATTCGTGGCAGCCAACTATAGGCTGTCACTCTGGCCAGTAGAAAATGGCCGCAAACTACATGAAAACTGCCGTAGAAGCATGAAAAAATCGATTATTTCCACTATCGATGGGAGTTGGGAAATGCAACGTCGGTCTTGGCCTTCCCGCCAATTGTCAATCTTGGTGCAAATCCGTCGAAAATTGCGGCCGTGCATTCGTTACACACACACACACACACACACACACACACACACACACACACACGCACACATACTGCCTTTTATAGATAGAGATACATCAGCAGTTGACCTAGTGAACTAAAAACCATATTGCTTATCTGAAAGAAAACCCTGTCGGCTGCTTAATGCAGAGTTGATTAGAGCCCCTAGTACTTTTGTTAGAGAGGTAGAAGGCTAATAGAGCAATAGCTCTTCAGCTAGGTTCTTAAAGAACAGATAGATAGATAGATAGAGATAGATAGAGATAGAGAGAGAGAGAGAGAGAGAGAGAGAGGCAATGTGAGTAATAGGGAGATTGAGTGCGTCTAAAGAAAGAAAGAAAGAGTGGCCAAGAGGGAGGGAGTTGGACGTAGACTTGTAACTGAGAGGCAGATTACAATCGAAATTTATGCGAGAATCATAACAAAAAAATAAAAATAAAAAAAATAAATAAATAAAAAAACAAAATAAAAAAATAAATGACGAATAGGTGGCGATAAAGAAGCTAATTATTTCCGGAGAAATGAAGAAATCGGTTCAAATTTACAACCGACGCTTGGAAGAAAAATTGTAAATGAAAGCCAGAAGACAGAAGAGAATACTGTATATGCTTGTCAACGAAACGACCAGCCCAGGACGCGAGCTACGAATAAGAGACGTCATAATCAAACAAGGATAGAAATTCTATCTGGGAATTGTTATAACAGATGCTGGAAATGTGTGACACAGAAATGCGAAAGTCTCTTGGAATAGCGGAAGATGCCTTTGAAACACTGAACAAACTATTAAGATACTAAAAAAAAAAAGAAAGATATAGAAACAAAAAAGTTTTGAGCTTCTACGTAATCTCAATCCTCCTGTGGCAGTGAATAGCAACGAACATGGACATCATTGACATCATAAACAACGACATCATAGATTAAGATTTGCGGCAACAGAGATGTCGTTCCCTTGAACGATGTTGAGAATACAATAGAACAAAGATTTTAAAGCAAATAGCAACAAAAAGTCACTTCTACATAGAATCAGAACGAAAATGTTAAATTTTCAGGGACACGTATTAAGAGAAGAGGATCACAGGATATAATGAAGGACTGATGGGCAGAGGGAAACAGCGAGTTATCTAATTAATGAACGTGTCACTTTTTAAAATTCATTCCCTCCCGCCAAGCTAGGCGATAAAGCTACTAAGACACAGGTGGTTACAGGGAGTGAAAGTGAGAGAATCAGAACATAGAAAATGGGGAGGGTTGAAGAAAGGACCCCCCCCCCAAAAAAAAGAATAGTGTTCAAGAAGACAGAAGATGTCGTTTGACGTTACATTTAGATTTTTGAAGATTGTAGTTATCAGGGAAGCAAGAAATCAGAAGGGAGTTTCACAGGTGAAAATTGCGAGGAAAAAAAACTGTTACAGTAGAAGTAGTGGTTGCATCTAGCTAGTTCAAAGATGGAAGGACTAGCACTGGGGGGAATAGTGATGGGACAAATATTGTTTAGAGCTATAGAAGATAGGAAATTGTGGAGAGCAATGATCGCCCACGTACTGAAAGTTTTAGGCGCATTAAATACAGATTGTTATGTTAGTGTTACAAAGCAATCTGTGAATATCGTTTACAAGTTGATGAAAATCGACAGACGAATATTATTGCATAAAAGACGAAACTAGATGGAAAATGCAAATAACTTTTCATACGTAAAATGTTTTAGCAAATTTCATCGGTCAATCTATATTCTGTGCATTGAAAATCAGAAAGATTGGTATTGTTTGTGGATGGGTAATATTGAAGGCAATGATTACCGTATTATATAAAAGGCTTATTATGCATTTTATACAATACGTTAATCTTTAAATTGTAAAAGTATTTCCGTCGCAATTGTTCTGATGAGTTTTCTCCTTGAGATCTTGATCTTACCAATTTAAGCGCAGTAGTAAGTCAACGCTAAGCAGATTATTGAGAAATAGGAAACTTTTGCTAGAAACAAGGAAACGATTACTAAACAGCTATGTGATATCTGTCCTCTTATATGGTAGTGAGTACTGGTCGATCTCCTCGAAGGTGGATAGGATACATGAAGCAACAGAAATATGGTCCTACAGAAGGATGTTCAGAGTGCCGTGAGCCGGACATGTGACCAACGACAAAGTTTTGTAGAAAATGGAAAGCTAAAAAGGAAGCTAACAGTTAACATCTGGAAGAGACACTTGATATTAATGTTGCATATAATAAGGAAAGAGGGTTTGGAAAATCTGATACTCACAGGATAGATTGAAGGCAAGAGAGACAGAGGAACACAACGTGTGGCATACTTGAACAGCTTGAGTAAATTGATGCCAAAACAGAGCTTGGGAGAAAAGGACAAGATTTATTAAGCGCTACCGGAAGTTGTGAAGGGTCATGACCACCTACGTCCTGGGAGGACACGGCATATAAAGAATAAGACTTTATTGGCAGTTCGCTTTTATCCTTTTACCGTTGAAATTTATATATGAGACTGTAAGTTCTCCGTTAATAATTTCTTTTCTCGCTTGTGGAAATATCTTCCGGTATACTGCTTTCCTAACAATTAGCATACAAAACTTTTCCACAAGCTGAAAATTTTGAACTGATCCATTCTTTATATCAAATCGTGAAATGAATGTAATCCTGAACGGCCACTTTCGTATTAATGCAAATGTCGCCCCAGGGCTCCATCTTACTTTCATTAATGGCCTTTCCGATGGTATCAACTCTCATCTTGATATCTACGCTCATGACACAACTATTTACTCCTGTCTCGACAGTAAGTCTGATCGGCTTTGGTCATAAGATCAAATTAGGCACCTGATATCCAAAATGATCTTCAGTCTGTTGTTAACTGGGGCAAAGGATTGCTTGTTAATTTTAACGCCTCCAGAACTAAACTTCTCTCTATTAATCATCTGAGAGACAACTCCCGCTGATGTTGACATCCAGGAGAGTGACTCGTTACGCCTTCTCAGGCCAATGTTCTCAGCTGACATGAAGTCATCATCATTCGACCGTAGTCGGGATCATCGAGCCAATGCGAATGATCCTTAGCTGTATAGTATATGCTTCGCCAGAGTTACATAAAGTTTTGAATTCACAGTTTTCCTACTCCTAGACAAATTGCCACCCAGTCTGTAATGCTGTTTACCCATACCTGGGGTTGGGGAAGAAGAGGATTTATACCTTTCCCAAGGGGATTAGCACGTAAGTGAATGTAACTGATCCAAGTAGAATCCGAGCAATTACTCAACCGTACCCACCTCATAATGAAGTGGAAAGACTATATTGAATCGATTGCTAGGTCAGCTCCTAAAAAAGTTGGTTCACTGCGTCGAGCGAGACAATTTTTCTCACCTGAATCTATCTTACATATCTATGTCCAAGATTCAGTCATGCTTAGAATATGGTCTGCTATTTATCAAGAGCTCCTTGATAAATTCGAAAGAATACAATCTTCAATCAACACAGCTTTGCCAACGTGCGCCTAGTCCCGCTGAAACACATACGGCCTTCCATAGCATACAAATTTGAAAGAAGTGGAAGGGATGACGTGTCCTTCATTATTCACCCCTCATTCACCACCCCTAAAAAGTGTCCTCCATAATTTATCACCCCTAAAAACGACTGGGCCAGTGGATAAAGATGTTGGTTAGATCCAGTGGTGAAATAAAAAAAACTTGGTGAGTTGAGTTAAAGAGAAATAACTGTGACATCCGGAAGAGCCATAGAACGTGGAGCTAAGACAATCTACCTCGGTGGACGAAATATGTGGTTTAGTTCGAAAATTCCAATCGCCTGAAGGAAGAAAACCGTAGCGTACAGCGGTCGAAACGTTGTGAATATGGTAATAAATATGAGGATAACAGTTCCAATAATATACGAGTGTCATTCAATAAATAAGGTGAATTTTTCGGTATAAGGACTTCTAATACAGATAGAAGCTTACTTTTTTTTATTTTTCAACGTAGTCTCCCAGCTCTGGCACACACTTTTCCCATCTGTGCACAAGCTTCCGTATTCCCTCAGCGTAAAAATCTTTGGACTGATGTCTCAGCCAGTCGCTCACAACACTTTTGACTTCATCGTCACTTTAAAACTTCGTGCCTCTCGTGAATGCTTTCAATGGACCAAACAAGTGAAAGTCTGAAGGGTCAAGGTCTGAGCTGTAAGGGGGATGAGGGAGCAGTTCCCAGCCCAGCTCGTTGATGGTCTGAACCGTTTGGGATGCTGTGTGAGGACTTGCATTGTCATGATGCAAGATAACTCCTTCTGACTGATGACCCCTGCGTTTGTTCTTTATGTCTTTCTTGGCCTGCCTCAGCAGTTCACATTAGTTCTTCTGTCAGACTGAATGAGGTCATTGACTGATTCGATCACCTCAGGAGACCTCACTTCTGTAGGCCTCCAAGGCCTGTCTTCATCCTCAACACTGCTCCGTCCTTTTTTAAACAATTTAGCCCACTTGCAGACATTTTTCTTTGGCTGAAACATGTGGCACCATACACAGTTGACATTCTCCTATGAATTTCAACTGGTTTGCACCCTTCAGCAACCAAAAACTTGATAATTGACCGCTGTTCAATCCTGGAGCATGCTTCTTGGTCGGCCATCTTTGTTAATCCCCAAAACTCTCAAGGTTTTTTTAATCTGCATAAGAAATTAAATTCATGTGAAAAAGAAGTAAAAAATAAAATAAAATAAAATAAAAAAGTAAGCTTCTATTTGTATTAGAAGTCTTTATACCGAAAAATTCACCTTATTTATTGAATGACCCTCGTAAATAATGTAAATACACCATGCCGTTTCATATCATAAGTTAGCTGATAGTTCGTCATTGATGCCCTGAGAAGATAAAAGCTCATTAATTGATTATTACAAAACTGTGTGTCCTCAAATACAGTGCCGTTCGATAAAAGTGACTCACCTGATTTTTTTTACTAAAAATATATTTTGTTTTATTGTTTTTGCAGTTAAAATAATTTTTAATCTTACTAATATAAAGACCCCTTCCCGACCACCTAGGAAAAAAGTTTATTCACCCTAAAGTATTCTATTGATAATTATAAATTTGGATATAAATGAGTTAGGAAAAAAAAACCTGTGCAAAAAAATGACTCAGATATCGCATCTAATATTAAACTGGTAAATTTAAATAGCTTTTAACAAAATATTGAAAACTATTTTACAATACACTCAGAACAATATTCTAGAGAATTCTAGAACAGCTTAAATTAAATCTAGAGTAATCCAGAATATTCCAGAAAGCCTCATACAGTATAAAAACAGTTTGAAATAGCCACTCAAGTCACTAACCAGAT